ACCCCTATAATGTGAATGTTACTGCGTTTTATGTTGTCCCAGAGGTCTCTTAGGCTGTCTTCATTTCTTTTCATTCTTTTTTCTTTATTCTGTTCCGCAGCAGTGAATTCCACCATTCTGTCTTCCAGGTCACTTATCCGTTCTTCTGCCTCAGTTATTCTGCTATTGATTGCTTCTAGTGTAGTTTTCATTTCAGTTATTGTATTGTTCATCTCTCTTTTGTTTGTTCTTTATTCTTCTAGTCTTTGTTAAACATTTCTTTCATCTTCTCAATCTTTGCCTCCATTCTTTTTCCGATGTCCTGGATCATCTTCACTATTGTTACTCTGTATTCTTTTTCTGGAAGGTTGCCTATCTCCACTTCATTTAGTTGTTTTTCTGGGGTGTTATCTTGTTCCTTCATCTGGTACATAGCCCTCTGCCTTTTCATCTTGTCTATCTTTCTGTGAATGTGATTTTTGTTCCACAGGCTGCAGGATTGTAGTTCTTCTCGCTTCTGCTGTCTGCCCTCTGGTGGAAGAGGCTATCTAAGAGGCTTGTGCAAGCTTCCTGATGGGAGGGACTGGTCCAGAGTGCTTTTTAAGATCAGAAACAAAGCAAGGAGATCCTCTCTCACCAACCCTACTAAACATCATATTGGAAGCTCCCGCCAGTGCAGTAGGCAAGAAAAAGAAATTAAAAGCTCACATATTTGAAAGGAAAAGGTAATCTGTTGGCAGGTGATTTTACCGAATGCAAGTTTCATGTGCCTGATAGATAGTGAGGCCAAACAAATGAAAACGTGGGAGTTTAGAGCAGGGAAAGGTTTATTGCAAGGCTGAGCCGGGAGAACAGGTGGCTCATGCCCTCCAAACCCTGAACTCCCTGAGCGGTTTTCTCGAGGCATTTTTAAAGGCCAAGTGAGGGAGGGGCCTTTTTGCAAGATTGAGGCCTGGAGAAAACTCTTCCTACATATGAAATATGGAGAAGGTTTGAAATTGACTTGGGGGCATGATTTTCTCCACTGTTCATGGGAGGCCTGCATTTGCAGTCCTTGGGTGTGTCCGTAGCACCTTGTTTTAATAAATAGGGAGACAATGATATTTCAAGGCACTTTAAAGTCTGGCAGGTGATAAACTGCACCAAAACCAGAGTATGGCAGTTTATTTTTTTGCTGAAGACATCTGAGCTATTCAGTGAAAGGACATTGTTGCAGTCCACAATCAATGACGCCCAATTTCCAATGTAATACCCCCTAGTGTATTTTCTCTAATGTTCATTTGTTTCTTCTTACTTTTAGAAGTACTAATGTTCTTCCTAGGTAAACATGGAAGAACTGAAAAATAGGGAGCAGAAAAATTTCTGTAATATACCACCCAAGGCAGCCGCTGACAGAGTTTTGTTGTTCCTATTCCTTCTCCACGTTTCAAAGTTTCTGAAATTGGGATGCAAGTTATAATCAATGTGTACATTTAATTTGGTGTTCCTTTTTACTGAGAGTTGTTATTAAATCAGTGCTCAGACTTTATGTTCACCTGCCTAAAGTATTCATTAGAAAGTTCCTTTAAGCAATTTGGCTTTGAATTCCGAAGTGCGTGATACGAATTCATATTGATTCTTTACTAGGTTTTCAGTGGCAGAAAATCAAATGATGTTTTACTTTCGCTGGAGAATATTTAAAACCACATTCGAGCAGCTTTTCTGTGAATGCATTGCCTTTGGCTAAGTAATTTATTATGATGTAAATTATTTTTGTTGAATTATTTTTGGGAGGGGTCAGTGGCTGGCAAACCTATTTAATATTATCGATTATTTAAAGACGTATTTATTTTTATCTTCCACAGGAGAGAGGGTAATTGATGCCTACCCAAGATAATGGAGAGTGAAGGTAGATTTAGGACCCACCAGCAAGTAGGACCTGGGTGTCTCAGTTCATGAGTCTGGACTCTCCATAACTCATTAATCCAGCTTTTTACTGGCAAACATTCTAGAAGTGAAACGAAGCGGTATTCTCTGTTTCCCTATTTGCAAAACCAGCAGTTATTTCCATTCACGACCCACTTTTCAGCTCTCCTACCTGTGCAGGCTCACAGTTTGTGGCGGCAGGTGGCGCTGTGTACAAAACAAAGTAACTTTGGGGTGGCTCTCTCTGGAAATGGAACTCCACCCCTGAGAAATTTCTGGCTTTGCTAGTTTACTTTTTACCTCACATTTCATGGCAACATTACTTGACATTATTTCTTATATGAATTCTTGCCTCTTGATAAATCAGAAATATCACAGCTGAGATAATATTTGTGTGATGTCTCGTGTACAGAGCAGTTGATGTGCTTGGGTTACTGGCTCACACGCTGGCCCGGTTGGTTTGCATAGATCAGTGGTTCCTACAAGGATGCAAAAACTCGCTCTCTCTGGACACTCTGTCCCCCCGGACAGGGTATCATAGGATATACTGTAACAGAATGTTCCACTGTCAGATCCTGACACACCCACGACTCCTTACCAAAGCTTAGCATTTGTTAGCATCCCAGGGCGAAGAACTAAAGCACAGTAGGGAAATGGATTAAGTTGCGTTCAGGAACTGGGTTTCTAGCTCTCGTTGGGTCACCAGGTGACTTTGGGCAAGTCCTTTGACTCTCGACCTTAGTATCTTCATCTGTAAGGTGAGGCAGTGGCCTGCTTGATTTGTTGTGTCTTAACAAAAAATTATCATGTTACTGGATTCCATCATATTTGAGTTTTATTTAAAGTCTTTATGAAGTCAATAAATTTTCCATGGAATTCCAAGTAAAACAAAAATCACCAAATAAAGCACTGATACACAAAATAGTCACTCTACCCACGTGCCATAAGTGGAAAATAACAGCTGATTTTCTCTTTTGTGCTGTTTAGCTAGCTTTGGAGGCCTGTCCTATATCATTGCTCCAATTAATACAGAGTGGGAACGTTCTTGGATTGTTTGGTTCACTTCCTGCTCTCCGGGCGCATCAAGAAGGAGACATGAGATGTGTACAGTCTGGGTGTGGGACGTTTATGTCTGGGTTACATTCACGTCTTTCTTTACTTTTCCTTAATGTCACCGCAATAGGGAACGAGTGTCAGAAAGTGATAATATTTCCCCCAAGCTGTGCAAACCCAACGTGGCTTTAAGGACTTTAAAGGTCTATATCTCTCTACTTTTTAATGCAGAATACGGAGCATATAATCTATAAATGTACAGTTGGTCTGTCAGATACTCCAGAGCAGCTCATTAGGACTGTGTAGAGAACTGGCCAGCATCTCCCCTCTCCCCTCTCTCCTCCTTTGTTCCCACTCTCTTTGCCTCTCTGTTTCTTCCCTTCTTAGCCTTTCCCTGACTGCATTTGTGCATGCTCACAGGACTGTGTCTGCTTCCTTCGCTCTTCATCAGCCCCTCCACCCTGCCCAGCTGTCTCCTTCCAGAGTGCCTCACTTTCCTGACCCTGCCTCTAATGTTCCTGCAGGTCCCCAGCTCACCCTGCGTTTGACATGGTTTGACCAAGGTTGCAATCAGTATAGAGAAGTGATACCCAGCACCTGATGAAGGGTCTGCAGAGATTAGACTCTGAAAATGTATAAACAAATGAAAGATCAAGGCCAGGAAGAGATGGGAGGTAGCCCCTCTGTAAGGAAAAGGAAGCGTATTTTGGTCCCCTGTTCACGGAGAGAGACCTGGGTGAAGCAGCCACGTCAGACCCATGTCTGTTTGCTGTGGGGATGTTCTGAGTTTGTCACCTCTGACTTTACTCAGTGCCCCTTATTGCGAAGCTGCACATAGGAAAGATTTTAAGAGCCAGGCGAGAAGTACTCTTTTCCTCTCTGAGGAAATTTAACTTTTTCCTTTGCCCTTTGGCTGCAACTCAGAGTCAAATGTCTGCCCCCGATGCTGCTGTGAGCGGCTCTGGCCCATGCATGCAGCTTTATTGCGTTGTCTGAGTGAGCTAACGATGATCAGTTTTGACAGTTTGAAATAATTTCATTGCTCCCTTAAATCAGTTCCTTGTTGGCGAGTGAAACAGATACCTAACAAGTGTAATAAGTTGATGGAAAGAAAATACACGAACATTTGTTGGCTCCCTACTGTGTGCCAATACAGCACTTGGTCTGTGCCTTTTCATCTAACGCTCACAGCCATCCTGGGAAGCAAGGGTTTGCTCTTGTTTTGGTTTTTTTGTCTGGGGAAATACTAAGTGCCAGGCCCAGGAGGCAGTAACACAGAGGAAGGATGACATCTCTACCCGTGGTCCCAGCCTCCCTCTTCTGTTCCTCTCCCGACGCATGCTCTGCACCAGCCACACTGGCTTTCACAACGTCCCTTAACCTCCCAGGCACGCACCCATCCAGGCCTTTGCCTCCCCTTCTTCTCTGCCTGGAACGCCCTTGCGCAGCCGTCTGTGTGGTTGACACCTCATTGCCCTCAGGGCTTTGCTGAACCATCACCTTGTATTGAAGTGTTCCGTGGCCACTTAGAGAAAAATCTCCACCTGTCCCCGCCCCCGCATTTCCTGCTTGTCTAGCTTGCTTAGTTTTCTCTCCTTAACCTTTATCACTAACACAATATCTGTTTTGCTGATTTATTTTATTTGTTGTTGTTTCCCGTGCCCAGAAGAGTGCCCTGCGCATAGTTGTGGCGCTGTAACGTTTGTGGAGTGAATGAGTGAGCACGTGAATGAGTGCTTTCTCCACTATTCTGTCTCCTCACCTGCCGCTAGGGGGCACTCCCCACCGCAGATGGCTTTGGTTTCATTCCTGCCGAGTACAGGTGTCCCCTGCTGTCCTGAGAGCAGAACGTTCCTATGAAAACCTTTGTTAAGCTGAAATGGTGTGAATTGAAGAAGCAATTACCTTAGGACAGGCCTTGCTAACAGATGCACAAAATAAATAGAGATAAACCATAGACAGTTCAAAGCCATGGCAGCTTGATGCTGAGATGCTGAGTACGTTTTCCAGGAAGCAGCTCAGGGGTGCCCCTTTCCCTCCCTGGAATCCGCGCTGCCTCCATAATGGCTGCTACGTACCAAGCCTGAATGATGTTCTTGTGTTTCAACTTTTCTTGTGAAAGTAAAACTCCTCTTTGAATGTCTTTCAGTTAGCAAACACAGGTACGAAGGTATGTCTTTCTTAAAAGTGAGGTGGCATAAAGTGAACTTGTGAAAAGTGAGGGATACCCACAACTTTATGTTAGAAAAATAATTCTTTGTTTCCGTTCTCGCTCTGAGAAGTGCCAGGCACTCCTTCGGTGGCCCGAGAAGCTTGGATGGCTGGTGGGACTGGAGCCTGACCACGATGCTGGAAGGCCTGTACTGGGGAGGCCTCTCCACAGCCAGCATGCCGGGTGCTCAGGTGGGCGTCCATCTGCCCTTCACAGTGGTGGTGTCACAGTGGGGTGAAGGAGCCACAGACGCCTGACCTGTAACACTGCGCAGGTTCTTGAATGATCTGTAGGTCGTAAGGCCCGCGGCTGTCCCCAGAGCGTCCTATTCTCTTCTCTGCCCCTCACACCTCTGCCCCCTCCTCTCACACCCCCTTTAGCCACACCAGCTTCTTCAGACCCCTTGTTTGCCGGGCCAGAGCTGGACGCAGGGGCATGGCTGGTCCGTAGGAGCTCGTAGGCCCATTGGGATGGTAGGCTGGTTCAGTAAGCAAAGTACTGTGACACAGAGGCACAGGGACACCTTGAGCGAGAAGGAGCGAAAGCTAAGATGGGACCCTCCGGAAGCCGCGAGGCAAGCCTTGCCCTGCCCTTCTGAAGCCAGGTTACCAGTGGATGTGCATTTTGAGTCATAACCGTATTCTTTGCTTACTTCTTATTTTCCACCTTTAAAAAAAAATTAGATTCTTCGTCCTGAATTCCTCAAACAGTGTGTTGCTAATTCTACAGTTGTTGTGTTCTGTGCGGTTACAAGAATGACACTGGAGAAACTTCAGAAAAAGACGATAATGGATCATTCTGATTTGCTACAAGGCCTGGGGAAGTTAGCTGCTATCTTTCTTAGAATGCTGGCTAAACCTTTAGAATGTGTTCAAGAAAGTAAAGTTCTGACCTCTGATTTGGTACCTGAGGGGATCCAGAGCTCACCCATGGCTGGACTATGGTGCTCCAGGTGTGTTATGTGTCTGGGCATCTTCACTGTTCTTCCAGCCCAGAGCTCTTGGAGGAAAGGGCCACCTCCTAGGCCATTTGGTCATTAAGCAGCTAAAAGGTACTCCTGATAGTTTATGTGAGGTAAGATGCTCCCCTCTTCTTCTTATTTCTAAAAGTACATTAAGTTAGAAACATCTAGGAGACATTCAGGCAGGAAACGAAAAGACCATTTTAATCATTTCTGAGAAGTCTGGCTGTGGTTTGAAAATGTCAACCCCCGGGGTTTGGAGAGTGTGGGCCTCTACCTTCATTTCCTTCTCTGCCAGCTCCCTCCTGGACCCTCTTCCTATCCTGGCATTCTGCTGCAAGTTCACTCAGTCCACACTTGGTTTGGCCTTTTAGAAACCTGGCATTCTGTGCAAAACCAGAATATTCCTATCGAAAATATCTAAAACTAGAATATCACATATCTTTTCCTAGTGGGAGGGTGTGAGTGAAGTTGGGCGCTTACCTGCCTCATCCTGTAATGGAAATCAATCTGATGGCCAAGGCCAGACTGGTGGACAACTTAGGTGCAGCCTTCTACTGCTCAAGCTAGAGCCCGGGGACCACGAGGGGGCATTGAGGGAGCAGAGGGCCCTGTGTCAGGACAGCGTATGTGCCCATGGGCAGCCAGGCTTGGAAACCCCCAGATGCAAGGCCGACTTTGAAATGTGCATCTGATTCTTCTTCTGATTGGTGGTTTCGTCCTCATCTTCCCAGCGCATTTTCAGAGCTTGTGGAAGACTCTTTCCC